TATTTTAATAGAAAAATATTTCAAAACATAAAAAGAATACTGAAAAGAATTATCAATTTTCTTATTATCGTAAATTATAAATCATAAAATTTATAATAATTAAAATAAATTTATAATAAATATAAAAATATAAAATATATAATATAAAAAGTTCTTATTCTACATTATATATAAAATGAATAATTATTGTTATAATTATGAAATTAAAATAATTGTATAATAATAATTTGACTCTTCATAAATGAATTTGGAGTAATTCATAAATTACTCCAAATTACTAAGATCAGTTATAATAACATGATTTACATCTCTTCCTAAGTAGATTACTCTAATCTCGACTAACGACAGATCCAATTTGTAGTGTTAAGTCCGTAATACTGCAAAACTACTATTACACATTGCATTGAGGTCAGAATATGAATTGTTCATATCTTTTTTTTTTTTTGTCATTTAATCCTCTTGAGATGAATTTTTCTTTTAGCAATAATATAATGAATATAATAAATTAATAATAAAATAAATTTAATTTCATTGTATAGAATTAATAATCTTATCTCAATATCAGAAAAATTATAATAACTTTAAAATTCATATAATACTTAATTTAGAATATAATATCCTATTAGTTTCGAAAGAATAAACTGATTCTTTACCTAAAGCAACTGTTATAATACTTTAAAATGATATCTAATGAAATAATCTTTGAAAAACATAGAATAAGGAATTCAATGAAGTTCTTTAATTTCTTTTAATTTTATATAAAATAATAAACATTAATTTGTAAAAAATTTATAAAAAACAAATAGTAGTATGATTTCTTGTTTTTATATTTCTTTTTAAATTTAATTTATAATTTAAATTTTTCAAAATTTTTATTTAAAATGTAAATAAATTAATAACATTATGCATGATAAAAAATGGAAAAAAAAAAAATGATTGAATTAAATTTAATTAAATTAAATATGAAAATTAAATATGAAAATATTTATATTTTCATTTTGTTTATTCTTATAAATAGATATTACAATATTTTTTTTATTCTACAAATTACAATTATTTTTATATTTTTATTCTTATAAATAAATATCTATAGCCTTTTAATAAGAATTATTTAAAATAATTCATAACATTTAATTACATTACTTATTATATTTATTTTTATAACATATATAAAATATATAAATATTAGTTTTGCATATAAAATTTTTAAAATAAATAAAAATTCATTCATAAATATGGATTCTATGTATTTTTTTATCTAATATATTTCAACATTAATTTTTAGTTCTTTAATTTATTTCAACTTATAAAAAATATTTTCAAATAAATTTTCATTTTCATTTTACAAATTATTTATATTAGTATACGTGTATATTATATCGATTGTACAATATTTTCTTATTTTTTTCCACTTCTCATTATTTCACAAGTTTCTGAAATTCTTTTGTTTGTTCTTTTGTCTATGCCTTTCGTTTGTTTCTTGTCTATATCTTTTTTCCAACTTTTATTTAATCTTCTGTCTTTAGGTTGCCAATATTTATTTTTATATTTTATTTTCGAATATTCATTGTACAATTTCAAATAAACTATTTATTTTTGATATATAATCATATATATTATTTCCATAATTTTTGTAATTTGCTTATTTTCTTTTAATTTTTTTTCTTCTAGATTTTTCTGATGTTTTTTCTCAAAAATTCATTTCAACAAATCTCTGTACTTTTTCTATACTTCGACATATAGATAATAATTTATTTTAATATAAAAAATTAAAATTAAAAATAAATTTAAGAAAAATTGTATATATGTGTAAAAGAAAAATATCAATAATTATTATTAAAAAATCAAATAAGTATAAAATAATAATGGAAACAAATATTTAAAAATAAAAATATTAAAAATTAAAATACTAAATATTATAACCAAAAAAAAAAAACAATTAAAAGAAAAATTATTCCATTTTTATTTCTTAAAATAAAAATATTACTAACAATAATTTAAAACTATATTTCTTTCTTTAAATGAATTTTATATCATTTGCTGTTAGATGTCTTTAGTATTAAATATAAAATTCACTACCAACTTATGCGGTTAATTAACCAATAGATGGACATAGTATCACCTTTTTCTCTCTCATTTAACAAGCACTTTCTTTGTAATAAATCGAGCAGATTCGCAATTTATCTTTTGAAAGTGTCTAAATGAATTTCTCGAACGAAACACATTGTTGATTTTCTGACGATAATTCCAACCAACTTCTCCGCTATTCTCCATTCTATCGGAATTTCTTGGGATTCGCACGTTTTAATTGTTATAAATCTGTCCCACGTCACCGTGAGAGCTCTATGAGAACGAGAAAGCGTGTTTTCCTTCGATTTCTCTCGCCATCAATTGTTTCTCTATTATTCAAGTTGCTTTCGAATATAATACTCGAGAAATGCAATTAAAATACATAAATCATCAAATTTCTTCTCATTTTTTGTGAAAAATAAAAATTATAATATAAATAAAAAAGAATTTTTAAGAAGAAACTATTTAGAAAGAAAAATCAATGAAATTAAAGTCTACTGTAATACAAAATTTTATATTCTCCTATTTTTTTTGTTTCTTTTCAATTTTTCATTCTATTCCATTTTTATTTTTCTATTTTCTTTTTTTTTATATTCATTCTTTTTCAACTCTGTGTATATTTCCTCATTAAATATTAAAAGAGAATTCAATTACCGATTTTTAATATCGGTCTCAATCAATATTAGTTCTGTTCACAATGTTTCTTTTTTATTCACATTTCTCAATCTCCCATATTTTCTCCTTGCACATATAAAATTATCTTTAGATATACTCGAATGATAAAACTTAATACTATATTACTTAAATTTAATTTTTAATAGTATCTAATCATATTATATTGTTTAATTGTTATTTAAATATTATAATGATAAAATATATCATTTACATTCAAATTTTTTAATTATATTCATAAAAATATAAATCTGGATAATCATCCAGATGTATAATGTAGTAATAAATAATTGTATTATCTTAAACTTGTATAACTTACAATATTTTTTAACAGTGATTCGTGCAAGCAATTAAAAATAATTTTTTAGTTATATACTAAAAAATTTACTATTTTTTTTTAATATTATGTTATATAAAAAGCAATTAAAAAAATTTATTTGTTAATTTGAATATAACTAATTTTAAAAATTAATTATATTAAAATTACATAAGAATCTGCAATGATTTTATTTTTTATCATTGTTAAATTTAATTCTATAATATAATACTGAATA